TTGTCTTTGGTCCATTGAGAACAGTGCTTCAATGAATCCATCTTTGAGGTCGACTTGTAGATCTGCATGTTCAAGCTTCCATCGCTGACCATGCTGTCATCGTCCTTGAAAGTACTGGCAGCTTCTATTTGTGCTTGCCATTTCTTCATTAGCAACTCTCCCCTATCTTCAGTGGAGACTGCTTTCTTCTTCAGGATCGGTCTTACGCGTACTTGGGCAAGGTTCCATCCTGTAATCCTACCATCAGATTGTCCATCAGCGACAGATCTGCCTCGTACCACATAAGAACCGGTTACATCAGTAGTACCAGAAGTGCTAGTTCCACTCCTGTCAACAACAGCTCGTTGCATATTGCTTCGATGTTGTTGACCAGTTGATTATTGGCTCTCCCCGCTTGTCTTGAAGTAGTAGTAGTAGTAGTAGTAGTAGTGGGTGCGTCGCTGTATCGTCCTGGGTCGCTCCATTCCGCTTGTGGGCGCGTGGAGCGTTCGGGACAACGGGTGACCCCATGGCCAGTATCTCCGCAACACCAGCAACTAAAAGCCGGTCGTGTAGATGTCGTTCGAGCATTCGCCTGTGCGTTGCTCACTCCGTCAGGGGCACTGCTGCTCGCAGTGGTTGCGCTTGGAGTAGGTCTCGGTGTCGTATTTGATCAGCGCTTGTCAATCGTAGTCGGGTATTCGTTTCTTTGGTCGTATTCCTTGAATTCCATGGCGTAGGTCTGGTTTGCCTTGTCCAACATGCTTTGGAAGCGAGACCTGTCGCAGTTGTAGAAAAATGCACTTGCTTTAAATGTGCCCAGAACTTCTTTCTTGAACGTTTCTTGGAGCGCCTTGATATCGTCCGGATCGGTCTCCGGATCGTATAGATCCAGGTACCCCATTGTTTTGGTCGCATAGACATGCAACACATCGGTGCCAAGGATTTCGAATACTTGGTCAGCTTGAGCTTCGAACCGCCTTCTGCAATCGTTCACAAACTCATTTTGGTTCTGAGTGCAGTTCGTGAATCTCTTGAGAGATTCCATGAGTCCAAAGTGTTGCCACTCGGTCTCATCTGTGATGGTCATGAATGTCTTGATACGCTTCAACAGCATCACATGGTCTTCCTTGAGGTCCAACCAATCAGTTTCATTGCTTAACTTATCTCTCATTGCTTGAGTGATGAAATGCTTGGTGATGATTGCAGCCACGGTATATTGGTTTGTGGTATAGATCACTTCTCTTTTGTCAATCTTGACATTTAGGTTTTCCCAGTTCCTATCAAGTTGAGCCTGTCTTGAACTTTTGAAGAACTCGGAGTCGTTCTTTCCCGGCTTGTAGACCGTTTGAGTGCCTCTTAAAGCCTCAAAGTCCACATGGGCCATATTTCTCACACTCCAGATCATATCTTGAGCGTAGTCCAAGCTCTTGAGCGCAATGGCCTCAAGCAAGTATATTGTCACCTGCTCGTGAGTGAAGTCAGTATTGTGAGGATGGTATTGCTTCGGTCTATCGGCCTTCTTGCCGTGAGACCCTCGTCCAGTCTGCTGTGCAGATCTTCCTCCACGGCCACCTCGACCGCCTCTGCCTTGGTTTCTTCTACCAGGCATCTTGCTCTGTAGTTCCTCCTACTTTGCAATGTTCAAAAATTACCTCTTGTTGATCGACTGTCAGATAATCAACTCCGTAGCTGTAATGAGAGCCTCAACGCTCTAGCTACCTCTGAAGTATACTGAGCTCGAATCTACGTCGGCTATGGATTGCCTACAGTAGGAACAGGTGCCAGTGATGCTGGGCTTCAACCTGCGGATGAACAGTCTCACCACTTCCTATTAGATCTTATTCTACTGCTATTCTTGCCAGAAGTCGATCAACAATTATCTCCACAAGCAGGTACAAAAAATCTCTTCCGGAAGCCATCTGCGTCAGCTCTCACCAGCTGTCGCGGCGTATAAAGCACATACACACATGTTCTTCACGAACTAGTCACAGAGTAGATCTACCTTCAATACTTATTCATCTCTGTACGTACTCAAACCATACTACTGTCCGTGTTCGATATCACCAATGTCCGACTTAACTGTCCGACATGTTCGACTGTTCTTTTACCTATCAAGATCCCATTTCACCAACACTCAAGTTTGTGACAAAGGCAATGGATATCAAGCTTTGAGGTGAAGCCAATTTCACAACTACTCTTGAAGATCCAATCAAACTCTTGAAACATATTGAACAATTCATGAAAAAGAGCGCCGATGCTGGGTATGACTTCTTGTGACTACCAGATCCTGTTGAAATTGCTCTCTTGGAGACCATAAACTCCTTGATAGAAGCAGTTCGACATGTCCGATCGGACACACGGACAAATGTCCGTTTGATCCGTTTATTCGGGGGATTCCTATGAGTCGGTTTTGCAGGGAATCTGAACTAACAAACGTCTGAGCACCACGAAAATCCCATACTGAATCCTGCGGGAGTTCTGTACGTGGGTTTGGTACCGGCCTTTCTGGATTGCAAACATCCAGTAAAGGTTTGGGAAATTTGAGTTTTCGCGCAAGGCTTTTGCTTTGCCCATTCCATGTAGATAACAAGTCTTTTAGAATAGTTATTTCCTGTAGAGATGATTATTTCCTATTAGACGGATCGGAGATCGCTATGGTCAGTGCCTCTGCATGGCGACTTGATGGATCGCATGTTGGCATGGCTAATCGGTTTGGATGACGACAAGCCTGTTGCTTGTCTTATGTCCGCCAGAACCAAAATCCAACTGATCCTTTCAGACTACAAAACTAGACGTACGGAGGACAGACCACGTACTTCCCAAAATAACATTTTTGTCGCTCCTGCCTTGATATGGTTTGGCATTCAACCAGCAATACTCCGTCGCTGTCGCTTGAGTAACTACAAACTTATCAAGCCATCTCTGAGAAGAATCCATCAAGCAGAAGAGAAATGGCGTCGCTCCAGGTAAAGTTGATTGTGATATGTTGTGATTGTCAATCATGACTGTGACAGTGGCCATCCCCATTGCTTGACTACTGCTTTACCCAACAATACACCGTTGTTGTCGCTTGATTATCAGTACAGACTTATCAATCCATCTCTGGGGAGAATCCATCTAGCAGAAGAGCAATGGTGTCGCTCGAGGTAATGTTGATTGTGATATGCTGCAATTGTCAATCATGACCATGACAGTGTTTGCCATTGGTTGCATTACACTGTTGTCGTTGCTTGATTATTACAGACTCATCAAGCCATCTCTGAGAACAATCCATCCAGCAGAAGTGAAATGGCGTCGCTCAACAAGGTAAGCTTGATTGTTGGATGTTTACATCGTGCATCATGTTGATGAAAGAAGTCGCTCATGTCATGATATGGTTTTGTTGCATTCAACCAACAATACACCATCGTTGTTGCTTGATTGCTGAAGACTTTTCAAATCAACCAAACAGAAGAGAAATGGAGTATGTCAAGGTAAGTTTGACTGTCGGATGTTGCAATTGTGAATCATGAAGATGAGGACGGTGGTCATCAATACTCAACTACTTCATGCAACAATACACCATTGTCGTTGCTTGATTAGTACAGAGCCATCTCTGAAGAGAATCGATCCAGAAGAAAAGAAATGGTGTGCCTCAAGGTAAGGTTGATTGTTGAAGGTTGCGATTTGCATTCATGTCCGTGACAGTGGTCGCTATTGCTTTACCAGTCAGAAAATATCTGTAGACAGAGCTGTTATGTATTTGGAGCGAAGTAGTTTGATAGAAGTATAAAACTTGAGAGACAATAGTTTGATGTAAAAGTGCAGATTTACTAAAATTGTGACAATATGGCAGTGAGAACTTGTTGAGTTTAGCGACGTCTCCGATTGCTAGACTCCGTGTTCATAGGTTCAACTGCCATTCAT